ATTGACTTGAACCTGAAAGGCCCCAAGGTTAAAGGTGACATGGAGGTTTCCGCACCGGATCTGGAAGGCCCCAAGGTTGAGCTTGAGGCCCCCGACATCGACATCAAAGGCCCTGAAGGAAAACTGAAGGGTCCCAAGTTCAAGATGCCCGAGATGCACATCAAGGCCCCCAAGATCTCCATGCCCGACGTTGACCTGAACCTGAAAGGTCCCAAGGTGAAAGGAGACGTAGAGGTGGCAGTGCCAGGAGCTGAAGGTGAACTGAGAGGTCCAGAGGTCAACATCAGTGCACCGAAATTAGACATTGGTGCCCCTGATGTTGATTTCGATAGCCCGGAGGGTAAATTCAAGTTGCCTAAATTCAAAATGCCCAAGTTTTCCATGCCTGGCTTTAAAGGGGAGGGAGGGGGTGTGGATGTGAACCTCCCCCAGGGAGACGTTGAGGTTTCGGGCCCCAGCATAGACGTCCAAGCTCCTGATCTCAACGTGGACGGCAAAGTCAAAGGTCCCAAGTTTACGATGCCCGAGATGCACATTAAGGCTCCCAAGGTTTCCATCCCCGATGTCGACTTCAACATCAAGGGGCCTCAGCTGAAAGGAGATGTGGATATTTCGGGACCCAGGCTTGAAGGTGATTTGAAAGCTCCCCAAATTGATGTGAAAGCCCCCAAAATCGACGTCGAAGCTCCTGATGTGACCATGGAAGGGCCGGAAGGGAAACTCAAAGGTCCAAAATTCAAGATGCCAGAAATGCACATCAAGGCACCCAAGTTCTCCATGCCCGACGTTGACTTTAACCTGAAAGGCCCCAAACTGAAGGGAGACGTGGACGTCTCGGCACCAAAGCTGGAAGGGGATTTGCAGTGTCCGGATGTTGACATCAAAGGCCCCAAGTTGGACGTTCAGGCACCTGACGTGACCATCGAAGGGCCGGACGGAAAACTGAAAGGGCCCAGGATCAAGATGCCAGAAATGCACGTCAAGACCCCCCAGATCTCCATGCCGGACATAGACTTGAACCTGAAGGGACCGAGGTTGAAAGGCGACGCGGATCTTCAGGGCCCGAAGCTCGAGGGAGGTCTGAAGGGTCCGGAGGTTGACATTAAGGGTCCCAAAATAGATATCGAGGGCCCAGAGGTTGATGTTGATGGTCTGGAGGGAAAAATGAAGCTGCCCAAAATGAAGCTGCCCAAGTTTGGCTTGAAAGGAGAAGGTCCTGACGTGGAGGTGAACCTGCCAGAGGTCGATCTTTCAGGCCCCAAGGTAGATATCGGCGTCCCGGATGTGAGCGTGGAAGGTCCAGAGGCCAAAGTGAAAGGTCCTAAACTGAAGATGCCAGAAATGCACGTGAACGTTCCTAAAATCTCAATGCCCGAGATAGATTTGAATTTGAAAGGCCACAAAACGAAGGGAGGCTTTGACGTTTCAACCCCAAAGATAGAAGGTCACCTGAAAGGTCCCGAAGTTGATATCAAAGGCCCAGAATTTGGAATCAAAAGCCCTGAGGTCGACGTTGAATGTCCCGACCTGAACATCGAAGGCCCGGAGGCAAACGTCAAATTTCCCAAATTTAAGAAGTCCAAGTTTGGGTTTGGGATGAAGAGCCCAAAGGCAGAAATCAAGGTCCCGGGGGCAGAAGTGGATTTCCCTGAGGCGGAGCTGAACGTGGAGTCGCCCGATATCAACGTTGCCGGAAAGGGTAAAAAGAGCAAGTTCAAGATGCCCAAACTTCATATGAGCGGCCCTAAAGTTAAAGGAAAGAAAGGCGGCTTCGATGTCAACGTGGCCGGCGGAGAGCTCGACGCCAATCTGAAATCTCCCGACCTGGATATGAACGTAGCCGGTCCGGACGTGACGGTAAAAGGTGAGGCGACGGTGAAATCCCCCAAAGGGAAGAAACCCATGTTTGGGAAAATCTCCTTCCCGGATGTCGAATTTGACCTTAAATCGCACAGATTCAGAGGGGATGCTTCTGTGGCCGTCCCCAAAATAGAGGGGGAACTTAAAGCTCCTGATCTAGAGGTCTCGGTGCCAACTGCCAAAGGTGACCTAAAAGGCCCGAGTCTCGCCGTGGACGTTGCCGTTCCCTCCATCCCGGTGCCGGACATCGACTTAAATGTGAAAGGACCAAAAGTAAAAGGTGAAGTCGGCGTTCCTGGAGTAGAACTGGAAGGTCCCGAAGGAAAGCTGAAATTGCCCAAGGTGGGGAAAATGGGTCTCGGTCTGGAAATGCCGGATGCGAATTTGGATATCTCCGTCCCGGCCGTGGAAGGAAGCGCGAGCCTCCCTTCGGCTGATGTGAACCTCCGAGGTGGTGATGTGAAACTCAGAGGGCCTCAAATCTCTGGCCCCGATTTCGATGGAAACCTGAAAGGACCAAAAATAAAGGGAGATCTGGATGTTTCGAGTTCTGCGGAAGGGCCAAACGTCAGCCTGGACGCGCCGGGCATTGACATTGGAGGTTCGGGAGGAAAACTGCAGCTGCCGAAGTTTAAATCCCCCACTATGGAGGCACCTGATCTGGGCGTGAAAGGAGGCGTCGACTGCTCCGTCCCACAAATGGCGGTGGATGCCAAAGCCCCGGGTGCAAATCTCAATCTCGGCATCCCGGGCTTCGATATCAAAGGGCCTTCGGTGGACGTTTCCGCCCCGGATTTGGACATAAACCTGAAAGGACCAAAGCTGAAAGGCGATCTTGACGTTTCTGCGGGGGTTAAATCCCCCAAAGCATCAGCGGACGCGCCCGATGTCGGCTTTGAAATTCTGGGTGGCACGATCAAGCTCCCGTCCCTCAAGCTCCCCCAGTTTGGTCTTTCCAGTCCTGGTGTGAATGGAGCTGACGTAGGCGTCAGTCTTGAAGGTCCCCAAGTGAAAGGACCAAACCTACGGGGCGATGTAGACGTTGCCGGTGAAATCAAAGGTCCAAAAGTCAGCGTGGAAGGACCTCGTGTCGACGTTAAGGAGCCCGGAGTGGGCGTCCACCTTGATGCTCCTGCCTTGGACACGTCCGCACTGAAAGTTTCCGGGTCGGGTTTTAACGTCAACGTAAAAGGGCCGAAGATCAAAGGTGGTGCCGGCATCTCCGGAGA